GCCCTGCTGTGCCCAAGTGAATACTTGATAACATTTGTTCCTCCTGATTGACACTTTTACGGACAAGGAAATAAATTTCTTTCGGTTGGGTTTTGCCCCGCTGAGTTTGCATTGGTCAATTTTATCAAGCCTTTATTTGGCTTTTCTGCTTCAATGACGTGATTTCCTTCAACGCCATCAAGTTCAGCTAATTCAGCTTAGCCCTCAGCTGCAAGTTACATTAGGATAGTGCTGTGCAAACTCCGGTTTTTCAGCTCCGGCCGAATTATAGCTCTGAGCTCCGGCTTCGGCCACATCATAAAATATTAAATAAATATTTTACGATCAGACAACATTTATTAATATTATCATGAATAATCCTTTCCGCACTTCCAGCATCTTTAATCTGCAAAGTCTGTCTACAAACTCCTAATTATCAGATAACATAACTCAGGAAACAAAACAGTTTAACACTTAACCACGCAGAAAATATCTATATGGAAACCAGCCTCGAAAATTTTTTGACAATGTTGCAATTTTTATATAGCATGACGCAAGGCATGACGCTAACACTCTCAGACTCCAGAGCGCAATTGTTCGCACGCAAACGTTGTTTCATACTTTTTCGTTATGTACAAGGCATAAATACACAGACTATATGTAGCGCTAAGTCAGATGGCTTCATGAAAGTATGACGTTTGTAAGTTGCGATCGTGTTATAGCTTTTCAACGCTGTTCCTGTGGGCTGTGGCAGTTTGAGTCTATGACCTATGATGAATTCATTAACAGCAATTGGCAGTTTGCAGTAACTAACAATCGTTTGACATTTGTCTCATTTCATATTGTTTTAATTCTTGTCATGCATGGACTGGGAAAACGTAACTCCGGGCTCCGGCATACAAAATTCGGCGTCAGAAAAACCGCCGGAGCTCCGGCGCACAGCACTGAGTTGGGATGATTTGCACATCCCCCACTTACTTACTTACAGTACTTACTTACTTACTTTGCTTACTAACTGTACTTGTTTACATTATAGCAATCTTCAAAGTGATCTCAAGTGTACTACACTTTGGAAATCTTCAATTTAAACAAGAAAGGAATGCAGACCAAGCCACTCTGCCGAACAACACAAGTAAGTTTCTTGCCAAATTTGCACGGAAAAACCACCATCATTATTTTGTAAACATTGTTTTCATTTTCGTCTATATAGTTGCTCAAAAAATTTGTCATCTTCTTGGTATCCCTGTGGTTGACTTCACAAAATGTTTGATTCGTCCAAAAGTAAAAGTCGGTCGTGAATATGTTCACAAATCACAAACAAAAGATCAGGTTAGTATTTTAAGAATTTATATTTTGTATTATTTTGTGGATTGAGAATGCCTTTAATGTAATAAATTATGGTGCATTACAGAATCAAAAATTTGAAAAAAGTTTTAATAAATGAATGCAAAGCCCAATTGAACTGCATTCACGAGCCAATGTTTCAACACTCTAGTCTAGTGTCTGCATCAGGCGTGATCCGAAGTCGCAGTGTGGCTTCTTGTATACCCATGGGATAACGTCATCTGCCAACTGATGGATATATTCTTGTGGCAAATAAGCACTGTCATCCCTACTGAAAGCATGATTACTCATATTTATATGCCACGCTTCTATAGTAGGCAACGTCTTTGGGTGGCGATTGTTAGTGGTAATGACTCTAGAGCTTTCCCACGCAATCATATGTTTGGTGTCACACACATGTTCTGCTAAAGTTGATTTCCCCTTATTTAAAGTTGAAACAACCTTTTGATGTTCTTTTAGGCGTGTGCCAAACTGGCGTTTAGACTGACCCAAATACTCTTTCTCGCAGTCTTCTCATGGTATAGAATGTATAACACGAGTTTTCTGATTCGTTTGAACAGCTCTTACCGATATTACGATAACAGATATCCAAGGGCCAATACTTGCCGATACCGGCAATGCTGATATTCTATTTCACTTCGAAATTGACAAATGACAATTGGACTTACTGCAGAAACTTCATCATACAGTAACTATTTGTGTTGAGAGTGGTCAATCATGTATGAACACTTATCATACATGTATACATTGATAACATCTAAGCATATGGCTATATATTGAATTTATATTGATACATTTGGGTCACTGAGTTATGTTACAACCAAAATATACGTTCAATTTAAAATATATTGTATAAATTGTTATAATACAATACCAATAATATCGGCAACAAAAATACCGATATTTTGAATTTAGGGCCGATATCTAATACGCTGATATGGATTTTGGTGTATTATTATCACTAGATTTTCTTTCATTCTTTCAAGTTACAAATCTTCAACCTAAAACATTGCTGCAGTTCTATATCCACTTTAATTAAATAGTTCTTGTTTGTATGTGAAAGTTGACCCTAAGCTTATTTTTGGAAACCTATTTTAGGCTGAGTTTTCATGTGCAGCTTTGGCAAAAGCATTGTATGAAAGAATGTTTAAATGGATGGTCCATCGAATCAACAGATGTTTGGATCGAACAAAACGTGATGGAGCCTCTTTCATTGGTATCCTCGATATTGCTGGCTTTGAAATATTTAAGGTGAATTATCAAGGGTGATGTAAAAAAATGTAAAATAACAACACTGTACAGTATGTATAGAAGGGATTTATTTGAATTTACCGTATTTATACTTGTTTAGAGTAATAGCGCGGCATTCAAAAGATAAAACACTAATAATTTAAGAACACCATAGCGCTTAACAGGTTTCGAACATGCAATGTGCACATCGTCCTGGACCAAATAGTGAAAATTGCACATGGCTTTTCCAAAGATGTGCAAAAAATCAGACTTGGGAGTTGGGACTGTTAATGAACGTCCATCCATATTTATATAGATTTAAACAAAGCCGATCTGTTGTCTTATTATTTATAAACAAGTGCTTTTGCATGCACACTAGTAGCATGTTTGCAAAGACAAGTGAAAGGTGTCAATTTTAACTGCCATGACGACGGACAAATTTAACACATGACTGATTAATGTTTGTATATCAAAGGTTGCAAACAATGTTTAAAAAGTATTCAAATCATTAAATTATTGCAGTTTGATTGAGTAGATGTTTTACTGGGTAGCTAGGACAATCATGAACCTATTTTATAAATATTTAGAGCCACATTATTTACGCCAACACAGCAAGTATCATAGTTACAACAACTTTTAACTTCTAAAACCTTCAATTAACTTTAGTCAAATGATTATGCGCATGTTGTATCAATAGTATATTTTAATATAGTTTTCAGTAGTTAGTGTGGAAAAGGTGTAAACTATATAGCTAATAGCTAAGTGCTTACACCACGTTAAATAAAGTTTGTATGTACTACTATTACAACACGAGCGACCGTGTTGTATTCTTCAATAATTTAAAATAAGGGAAATTTGGTTAGAAAATTGAAATTAAAATTTACGTAAATCAACATGATTCTGTGTCAGATAAACAACATTCTGTATCAGATATGTGTTGTGTTTTCTTCATGAATTATTAAAGATGATTTCCACTCCGTTGTGCGCATCAGTTCTGCTCATAACAAAGGGACACCCCCAGATATAGACATTGCTCAAATTTTGCATCTTTCGAACTTTTTTGAATTGAAACGTAGAGTTTATATTCATTTACAAGCATGGCGAACCAGAAAAGTGTTAGATATGCAGTTAGCATATCATATTTTACAAATATATAGCAGTTCAAAACGTAAACAAAGTTCGCACAGGAGTGGATATTATCTTTAATGAATTTCACAATGTTTGTATTAATATTCTAAACTTAAGACAATTTCTTTCGTTTTTTAGCTCAATTCATTTGAACAGCTCTGCATCAACTACACAAATGAAAAACTTCAACAGCTTTTCAATCACACCATGTTTGTCCTGGAACAGGTTCGTAATTTGTTAATTTGAAACAGGATCGTCAATTTGAGTAGATCAGTTCTGAATGGTTTGAGTGTACATATGTATACCCGTATCCGAACATTCACAGGGTTCGTAGCGGTCTTTGAAATCCTTGAAAGTCTTTAAATTGGAATGCAGGTCTTTGAGGTCTTTGAAAAGTCTTTAAATTGTGTGAAAAAGCGAAGAAAGTCTTTAACAGTCTTTGAATTCTTTAGTGAGTATTTGATTATACGATTTCCTAGCTAGTAAAATAGATTGATTGAAGCAAGATTTTCGCAATTATCGATGAAAAGGCGCATTTTAGGATGTGATTTGACGGGACTAATTACTGGGTAAAAATGGTACGTGCTTACACTCGCAATTTTTCGACAGCTGATTGCCCTCAATGGTCTTTGAAAAGTCTTTGAAAATAGGCAGAAAAAATCTTTGAAAGTCTTTGAATTTTTTTGGTCTTGGAGACTACGAACCCTGATTCATAATTACTCATGCATCAGAAAAAGTTAAGAAAAATGTTAAACACCTGCAGGAAATTCGTTTGAATGAAGATTTGCTATTGAAAGTTTGAAGGAAATCTTAAGCAACATGTCTCACTATGGGCGCAACAACATATGGTTGACAGACATTATTCCTTGAATTTAAAACCATGGTCAGCTAGAACACAATATGTTTTGCACATGCAAATTTAGCACTAAAAGACTCCTTTACATGGTTTGCAGGAAATTTTTGTCTCCAGGTTGTGCTCCCAGGAAGAAAATTATTTTTTCCTGCCCTGCTTAATTAAAAGAATGTAAAAAAGGCTGACTGTAGTTTGCGCATTTATCAGTAGAATTGATGGCTATGACAGTTCTTGGCAGTACTGTAATTGCCTGTAGTTGGACCAAGGCGAACTGTTATGATCGAGTGGTTAAGTCTTAGCAAGAGAGCAGTCTTATACTTACTATAGCCGGATAATTCTCATAATTTTCTCTTACAGGAAGAATACAGAAAAGAAGGCATAGAATGGAAATTTATTGATTTTGGTCTTGACTTGCAACCATGTATTGACCTGATTGAAAAGGTAAGGATATGTTCTGTATCCAGGGTTTCTACAGGTCATGGAAAACCCGGAAAGTTATGGAATTTCAATATCCAGACCTGGAAATTCCAAGAATATCAGTTTTATTGATTGATTGATTGATTGATTGATTGATTCATTGATAGTTTTGATTGATACAGTAGTTTAATATAGTCACATGATAAAGATACTGAATTACGGTGATTACATATAAACCTCTGTAAACCTAACTGTTCTCATTAAAACTATTTGCTATAATAGAGCTTCTCAACCTCGTACGTACCCAGGGCATTTTGCTTCCGGTCGCTGACCATCCAACCGCGGAAGCAAAAAGCCCTGGGTACGAGGTTGAGAGTTTCTACACTGTTCCGTTTTAAAATTAGGAATTTGAAGCTTGATTTCTTCTTTCGCAAAGTGTCAACAACTCACTTTCAACGAGGGAATCTTCATAATTAATTCCAGGTTATACAGGGTACGATAATTCGAGATTTGTGGTCGTACCTGACTCGTACTCCAATAGCGTACCTCCGGTCAAGGCATATTTTAACATATATACACATTTTTGTGTGAAATCATGAAATGTGAATGTATATAGTAAGTCTTTGTCTGTATATTTTTATCATAGTTAATCAGAGTATATGAAGAAATTATTTATAGGGATTCGTCTGGACGTTTGTAAACTTTAACTTTTATACATTACAGTAGCTTTGAGTTAAAATATATGTTGAAAGACAAGCACATTGCGAGTAAAAGTGTTAAACATTAATTTTTTATTGTATTCAGAATGCCCCCCCAAAACGCACTAAATAGCAATTTTGGAGTCTCCAGATTTCAAAATTTTCCTCTCCCGGACCCCCGTACAAAACTCCTGCCTTCGGCGCTCGCTCAATGGGCCCTTTTCCAAGCCCCCC